ATCCATGATTTTAATTGTTACAGGGGATAATGATAGCGTGAGTACCTAAACTGTGTAAGCATGCCACGTCATCATACTCAATAGTTACCTAATGTCATTATGTCGTATCAGCGATTTCTGTTCATTGAGTTAATGGAAGCACCGTATTAAGACAGAATTCGAAAAGTCGTACGCGCTCGATTGAATAAAAAGAAGTTTGTGTACTTGATTAGCAAACGGAGGTGTCATTGCATTGTCCCCGCTGTGAAGTGAGAGCCTCCCCCACTACAGAACATGCAAATTCGCCCCCTGTTTGTGCGGATCATGCTCACCATGGATGATTGTTTTTATCCAGAATCTTATCTTATCTTTCTTGCAACGTTGGTGTAGCTTATCCTTTTGTTCATTGTTACTGAGCACATGTCAATGTCGGTCGGTCAGGAAAAAAAAAAAGGCATGTGATTTTTATATAGGACGGGGGAAAAGTGCCCACTTAAATTTTTGCCCTTGCTTCTGAATTCTTTTGTTGACTCATTCTCTGGAAGCATCGTGGCTTTAGCTAGGTGTTGACTTTGGGCTGCCTCAACGAGACTTCAAAGGGTTTGAAGTGAAAAGAATACACCCAATACAGGGAATGGGCAGCTTTCCTTGAATGGAGGATGCCATTATAAGAATTTGCGAAACATCGTGATATCACTTTTCTTTTACTCTTCCTACCATAGTCGTGTAAATTATTTCCAACACTGACAAAAGATCTTGTAAAATTGCCTAAATAATAGTATATGTCATGGCAGTCTAATCTTTTCAATAGATTTGTGAATCTTGACTCTGCATATAATCTTTTCAAGAGAAAAATATAAGGAAAACCTCTACATTATAAATAGTAAACTTAAAGACTATTTCAACCTCAAATCTTTCCTTTTGACCAAAAAACAAAATCTCAAATCTTTCCCCAAAAGTTTTATTGTAACCACGTATATTATTAGGTAAGTCATGATCTAACATCAGCTGAAAGGGCTAATAACAATCCGAATATTTGAAAGTCTAGTCTTTTTAAAATTTGAGTTTAAATCTTTCTCAGAATATTTAATTTTTTCGCAGTAGACTTAACCTTTAAAATTTCTTTTGTTAAATATTTTTTTCTTCGAATTTTCTCCCGTTAGCGTCTAGAAAGATGGAGATTATCATAAAAGCGCCATGAGGGTATATAATAGTTTTTGCTCTCTTTTAACTAATTTTTTGGCACGCACTGGGGGAGCCTGGATAGGAGATTTATGTGGCGGTTTTTATTAGGAAAAAAGTGGACATGTAATTCAAGGGTTGGGGCATGTGCTCTGTGAAAGTTGGAGATTTGTCAGGTGACTATTCATATGATCGAATATTCATCAATAAAATCAAAATTTCTCTTTAAATTTTCTTATATTACGACAAAGGCATTGCGATAATCTGTGGGGTGGACACCAAATTTTAAAGTTAGTTCTACACACGATATGTTCTAACGCACGCATTGGGCGCGTTTCCAATTACTGAAGAGATAACATTATAAATTTAAATTGCTAAATTTATTACATATTATCATTCTAAATATTAGAGGAGAACCATTGCATGTAGGTGGAGAGAAAGGGTAACTGTCAATATAGAATAATTTGGATGAATATGTAGACATTGATAGATAAAAACAAAGTGTTATTCGAGGACAGTTCATCTCATATGCCAAAACTCATGTTGATATGAAAACTATCATTAAATTAAATGTCTCAACTTTGCACTTTGTTTTTTTTAGTTCTCCAATTAAAAAAAAACGGTTGCAATTATTTTGATGACGAGAAAGCCCACCTTAAATAGATAAGTCTCAAACTCTATAAAATGATTCCATTAAACTCATGATCATGAGCCAGTACCAATCTCCCCCCACCCCAAAAAAAAGAAAAAAAAACCGCATGAGCCAGTGAAATGTCTCGACTAAACTCATTGATCAAGTAAACGCAAGCCTAATCTTAAGCTTGTGTGGGTGCTTTTTTATGTACAAAATTGACCTCTTGTGATGTGCCTAATCCACACAAAAAAAATCGGATTTTTAACCACTATAAGCTAATTCGATGAGGTTAATTTTCAAGTTAAACGAGTTTATCGGACTTGATTAGAGTTGTTTTCTAGTACAAACACGACCATTACGTAGTTCGTTTTTCAATTTACGTTATTCTTCAACAACTGTTAGTCCCTGTAAAACATGTATTGAAAAACAGAGCCAGCCTACAATTATCGGATGAATATCATAGATGATAGATCTATTGACATATAAAAAATTCTAGAAATGACTACTTCGACCAAGAAAGTGTCATCATGACATACATCAATCGTGGACTTAATAAATAAATATAAAAACTGGGAATTTACCAAGAAAAACTCAAAGTGCTCGTTCGAACATGACAAATGGCTCACTACCACCCGTGAAAAGGAGGAAAACCTACAAATATCTACCAAGAAGACAGAACGTACCGAACATATGAGGGGACCGGTTGTCAGTAGAAATTGGATTTTGGGGTTTTTATAATTTGAAACATTATTAAAGTTTGTCCTGACATTGGAGAGATCAATAGAAATTCAATTTTAGAAGATGCCAAAAAAAAAAATGCAAAGTGAAAGAGCGGATGGGAGGAGTATTGGCATATTTGTTGATTTAGGTGTTTCTTGTCGTAAATATTCCTCCATTTCTCGAATTTAGTTTTTTTGTTAAGTAATACACGATCCTTTTTCGGGGAAAATTGTTCAAAAAGTTATAAACCTATTGTACAACGGTCAATTCAGTCGTAAACATTTCAATTGTGCCAATTTAGTCTAAATTTTTTGATGATTTACCAATGTAGTCTTAAACCTTAATTTAGTATTAGATCTTTTGATAATTTGCCAATTTAGTTTTAAACTTTTTAACGATTTGTCAATATAATCCTTCCGGCCAAATATCCAAATAATAGGTTTAGGACTAAATATGCAAATCATTAAAATGTTTAAGACTAAATTGGCACGATGAAAGGTTTAAGAGTAAATTTACATAATTAAAAAGTTTAGGACTGAATTGACTGCCACAAAATAAATTTAAGGCTTTTTGGACAATTATCCATTCCTTCTCGTTCATTCCTACCTCTTCTACATTGGCGAAAACATTGCACTGAGCGTTTTTTGTTCCCAATATCTATTTCCATTCCTTTATATTCGAAAGTTACCAAGTACCACAATGAACAGGAACGAGGTCTAATTCCCATTCCACTCTTCTAATTCCCTGTGAACAAACAGGCCTTAGGGGCTTTTAATAGAGAGCATATGAGAAGCTTCCATTGCAAGTTCAGCAAGCTCACGAGAAGTTACAACAGTTTTTACATCATCAGATGCTTTGTCATCATCACTGATACATTACTTGAGGAAGAATTGAAAATGTAGAGCTGAATACAGGAAGTTGAGGAACTCCAAAGAAGCTTTTTATAGACAAAAGAAGAGCCTTTTATCTTAGACTGGGGGATCAAAACACTGCTTTCTTTAATTAGAAGGTTGAAATTAGAACTTCAAAAAAACTCTGTTAGGGTTCTTTAGACTGAGGATGGAAGGCAAATCGAAAGCCACAAACTCATCGGTGAGGAGGCAGTGAACTACTACCGAAAGTTGCTTGGGTCCTCTCAGTCCCGTCCTTCGAATACTGGTTACGTGCTAAAGGGATCTATTGCAATTCAGGTTAAATGCAGGCCAAGCTTTTTCTCTCCTTGAACTTGTTACTCCATTAGAAGTTAAGGCTGTGCTTCGGAGTATGTATGGAGATAAATCTCCAGGTCCAGATAATTTACCCATAGATTGTTCACCAATGCTTTCTTGTTGTTTCTTGTGCACTCGAAGCTTTCACCAACATTTGATCTTGTCCCAACTATTCTTGGGGTGTCTCCTCTAGGTTTTGCTAACATTTGGACGGAACTACAGGGATTTTCTTGTAATTGTGGTGGGAAAGTTAGTTCAGGACCCGCATATGACAGCGAAGTTAAAATCACGCGGACCAAGATTGAATAGTGGTCCATACTTTAGAGACCACTCTTACAATTACCCCCGGTAATTTTTCACTTATTCCACTTCAGTCTTGCGTCTTGATATCTTACTTTTGAGATGCGCGCGTGAGTTATGTTAAAAAAGTCCCACTTCGAAAAATTAGCGTGATGTGAAACCATTAATTTATCGGCTTAAGTTTTTAATTGAAAATAGGTTTCATTACATATGTTTCTGGGCTAGAACTTATGTTCTCTCTTGGTGATTTCTAGTGTAGGGGCTTTTGCTCTGCACTCCCCAACACTTATTCAATATTTCCCATCTATATTTTCGTCAACGATAAAAATATTTTTCATTCATTCATTTTTATAAATGATATAAGCGATTATTTTTATAAAAATATTTTTCAAATCATTTATTTTCAGCGAAATAAGCAGAACCTTAAAATCACGATTGAAGATTAGATTTTTAGGGCCCAAATCTCTCTCTCTTAAAAAAAAGGAAAAAAAGGTTTAAGACGTGGACCAAAATTGATTAGGAACATTTGCAGGAAATTCCGATTATTGCCCCCTTAATATTTCCGCTCTGCATCGATCTCAAAGCCGCGTGTTAATCTCGAATTCCTAGTTAATAATTTCCGTCCGTATCGAGACCAAAACCTCGAAATTGCGACCCGAGATTAGTCTAAGGATCAAATTTACGACGACCAAAAAAAAAAAAAAAAGACTATGAGGACCAAAATGGAAGAGGGGGCAACAGTACATGGCCACTTTTGTAAATTCCCCAAAATTGAAAAGGATTAACAAATTGAGATTTTAAGGAAAGAATCATGTACACTTTCCTCGTATAAGCATTCTCATCCTATGAAACATTATAAAAATGTGCAATTATTGCCTCAAGCGTGTATCACATCGCCTACCGAAGTCTCCTCGCGTGGCTTCCTCCATTTTGAAACGTTCCTTCCTTCTCCACGAAGAATTCCCCTTCCAGATCTTCCTTTCGACCCCCCACCCGCCCACGGAGAATTCTTTTAGCTCATGTCGAATCTTTGATCGATCCGATCGATCCATCGGTCACCCGTCACCGCGTTTTCGTCCTCCCCCCGTCGGCGGCAGAGCCCGCTTGTTCACCTGGGTGGTTTCTCATGGTCTTTAGGTAAGGATTCTTGGGATTTTCTTGGGATTCGTGGGATTCTCTTTTCTGGGTCCGGGTTGGTGTTCTTGGATACGTTTCGGGTGATTCTTTGTCGACCCTTTTTGATGGGTCCCTTCCTTTTGCTTTGAATCTTGGCGTCGAACGTAGCAAGAGGAGGGAAAGAAAGGTGGCGAAGACGCAGGTATGGCAACCGTGCAAAAAGAAGAGATCTTGATCCGCCTGCTGAAGCTCGAGCTTGAATTGTGATTCTTGAGAGAGAAGGTGAAGGGAGAGCTTGGAGGAGAGAGGGGAGGAGGGAAGATGTCGTCACGAGCGAGCAGTAGCGGGAGGACGCGCGTGGGGAAGTACGAGCTTGGGAGGACCCTGGGAGAGGGGACTTTTGCGAAGGTGAAGTTCGCGAGGAACATCGAGACGGGGGACAATGTGGCCATCAAGATCCTGGATAAAGAGAAGGTTTTGAAGCACAAGATGATTGGTCAGGTATGGTGAAAGTTTGATTACGTTCTTGTGGAATGAGATTATCATGCGTCGGCTTCGGTTTGAGCGTTATAGAACCCAAGTGTGCAGTAATTACTTGATTGCGGTACGATGGTATGGGGAGACTGTCGTGGCTCGATGTGATTAGTCGGGAGTTTGAAGAGAGACCCCAACACGCAACGTAAAAGCTAAAAAAAGAACAAGAAAAAAAATATCACGCGGATATTGTCTGACTTTTTGGTTGGTTGGTCGAGGGGAGATAGGGTGGAAATGGGATGCGCGGCTCACTGCATTCTTGTCGAAGCATATTACGTTGTTTAACTTTTGAGGTAGTCTTGCGAGATGGACCCTTTAAAATGGAGATCATTTGAATGGATGAGGGAATGCTATTCGTGATTTGAAAGTTCGATACTTTACTTTTTTCAGTATACCCTCATATCCTGATAGTGGCTGTTGTTTCATCCCATTATATAGGTGTGCTGAAGAAAGAAAACCAGGTAATAGATGTACTGAACATTCTGAGTTGAACCATTCTAGTATTCTTCAAACAGGTAGAGGCAGGATAGCTCAATTGAAAGAAGAAAATTACATCTGAAATCATTGACGGCAGGCTAATTTTTCCTGCCATTCTTGACTAATGAGAAAGAAATAGATAATGTACCAACAAGAATCTTATTATATTTGATGAGGAGACATGGCTGATATTGTCAATTATACGGGCAATCCTTCAGGAATGTTTTTGCATCCTATGGTATTTCGTACTATCACACTGTTCTGTTGGCTTTCTCTCCTCGAAAGTGTTCTCACGGGGCACATTCTTTGTTGGATTTCCAAATCCATAAACATACAATTACGTATGAGTATATCATGTGTAGACCCTCGGAAAATGCTAGATTTTCACTGCCATTCTGCCTCTTTGTAGTTATTGTCATTAGTGTTGGTGGTAACTAACTATCTCAACAAGTAATTTTTCTTTCCTTTGCTCTGTGGCTGTGAATTTTAACATCTCAAACTGGCCGATTATCTTACCTATTACTGTTAGTTCTGGCGAAATGACTTGTCAAGATTCATTGTTCAACGATGATACATACCCATCGTGTCAAGGTATATATAGTTTGATTACCGAATCCCGAAATTTGGAATAGAGAAAAGAGTCGGTATTGTAAACTGAGAAACTTGCTTTTATCTGGAAATGGATCGAGGAAGCAAATTTTTCCTGGCTTACTCTAGCCTATTGATTTAATTTATTGCCTTTTTATTTAATATTTCTGATAATTCACTTGATCATTCATAATCATTCATTTGTTGCAACGGTTTTTATTACAGGATAGGATGATGGACTCTCTCTCTGTAATCTCATACATGATTTGCACAGTCACTTCTGCAAAATTAAAAATCATGAATCAAATTGTCACTTAATCTTATTCAGGAAGATTCAGTGCTGTTTTCTGTACTAATCTGGCTTCTCCGCAACCAGAAGAAGCTAGTTAGCCATTGCTATGTCTTTGTTGAATGTAATAAATAAGTATTACGGTTTGTGTGTCTACTAAAGATACTACTACTATATATCCTTCAATATCTTCATATTTTTACATATTGGTATTACATTGTTTGTGATGCGGTTTTTCTCTTCTTCCAGTCAGAAGATTATGTTGTTTGAATTTGTGTAGCATTGTCTTACTGATGTTTTCCTTCTTCTGATGTTATTTTTATTTTCAGATTAAACGAGAAATTTCAACAATGAAATTGATCAGGCACCCAAATGTCATCCGCATGTTTGAGGTTGGACACTAGATACTTTTTCCCATGTTTCTTTCGATCATCATGACCTCATGATTACAATTTTTACGGTTTTTTGCCCATAACGTAATATGTATGTTTATTTAAGGTTCTTACGTTTTCATGACAGAGTGATTGATGTACTTTAAACTGCTGTAGGTGATGGCTAGCAAGACGAAAATATACATTGTGTTGGAGCTAGTAACTGGTGGCGAGTTATTTGACAAAATTGTGAGGCAATAGTTGCAATTTCCTGTTTCCTTTCAGTTACAATTGGGTCTCTGACCTATCTTTTATTGAGCCAGGCAAGTAGAGGTAGGTTGAAAGAAGATGAAGCAAGAAAATATTTTCAGCAGCTCATCAATGCTGTGGATTACTGTCATAGCAGAGGTGTCTTCCACAGGGATCTGAAGGTGACATTTCTCTTCCAATATGTTGATTGTAAGCATGTACCTTGTTCACAAAAATTCTACATTAAGTACTCAGTTTTTTATTGATTAACTTGGTTTGAAAATCACAGCCTGAAAATTTGCTGTTGGATGCTAGTGGAACTCTTAAAGTTTCAGATTTTGGACTGAGTGCCCTACCTCAGCAAGTTCGGGTAAGCATTGGTTCATCACTCCAGTTTTGTATTCATTCAAAAGCAAAGATGCTTGAAAGGTGGCATATTGTGCGCTATTATTATCTTATCGGAGGTTTGAACGGCGGTGCCATTCATAGGATCTTTGTTTTTGTTTGCGCAGCACTAAAGAATTATTATTGGTTGAGAGCTGCTCATATTAGGATCTTCGGCAGTGATATGAAACCAACACTTGTCATTTGCTTTTGTGTTTTACCAACTCTTTTTGGCATTTATAGCTGTATACCATCAGGCATACTTTAAGTCACAAGACAAGTTCTGAACTCTGTTCCTTCTCTGTGTTCCTTAGGATGATGGACTACTTCATACTACTTGTGGAACACCAAATTATGTTGCTCCTGAGGTATTGCAAGATTTTCTGCTAATTTAAATTACAATTCTTGTTTGCCATTAGGCATTCACTTCAGTATCCCCTCCTCAATTCCAGGTTATTAACAACAAGGGCTACGATGGGGCAAAGGCAGACCTGTGGTCATGCGGCGTGATTCTTTTTGTCCTTATGGCTGGCTTTTTGCCCTTTGAAGAATCCAATCTCATGGCATTGTACAAAAAGGTTGGTGCTTCCATTTATTCTACATTTATTGTCTAGTGTAAGCAATACAACCATCCCACCAGTCAATTAAACATTAGATCCACATCACATTACAGTGACATGCCTGCGGTATGAGATAAAATTGCAGCATACACACTCATAGAATTGAGGTTCTGATTAAATGCATGAATAAAAGATTCTCCTCTGTTAACTGTTCAGTTAATATCAAGACCAGGAATTTAAACTATTAAGTCAGTTGGGGTGAGAGATAGAGCTATATAATCCGAAATTTAATCAGTGTTGTGGTTATTCCATATGGATAGTCATAGGAACATGGTCGCTTCACATTTTATAGTTTAATTTTAAAAGCAAAACCTTAAATAACTACGCAAAGAACTGTAAAGTTTATTTCTTCCCAAAAACGAATCAACAAACTGATAAAATCTCAAAGGATCAAAAAGATATTATACAAGTACATGTATAGCTGTTATCAGATCCAAGAAGTGAGAGCTTCATTTGCATCAGCAGGTTGCCTGTTGGCTTGTCATTTGCTGGCTTAGGAAGGTTTTATTCACCAGGATCACTGCATCTTTGTGCTTTATTTTCTCCATGATTTTCTGTTTTGCTTGTATTGCATCTGTCACAAGTGAAGTTGACTGTATAAGATTTCTGTCATTGCAGATTTTCAAGGCCGACTTCACTTGTCCTTCGTGGTTCTCCTCAAGTGCAAAGAAGCTAATTAAAAGAATTCTGGATCCTAATCCATTGACTGTATGTGCATTTCTTGTACTCTTTTTCTTTACCTGATAATTTTTGGAATTTGGTAGGTTTTCTCTTGTACTTTGAGAAAGGATAGGAAGGTCCTATTTTAGAGAGTTCCTTGCTCATGTTTCATTTGCTTTACCATCACCATAATGGCATGGAACAGCGGATTACAATTGCGGAGGTCATTGAGAATGACTGGTTCAAGAAAGGATATAAACCTCCAGTTTTTGAACAAGCCAACGTGTGCCTCGATGATGTGAATGCAATCTTCAATGAATCTGCTGTAAGATTCTTTCCTTCAGTTCTCAACATTCTGCCTTGATGTTCTGTTTGTCTTGTGGCATCATAATATGACTCGAACTTGATGTGTTCTTGGCAGCAGGACCCACAAAACCTCGTAGTGGAAAGGCGTGAAGAAGGGCCGATGGCCCCTGTCACCATGAATGCCTTTGAACTCATCTCTACATCGCAGGGTCTCAACCTTAGCACACTTTTTGAAAAGCAAATGGTATGTTCGCCCATAACAAGATGACAGTGATAATTGGAACATTTTCCTTATGTTTGATGAACAAACATGAATCTCTTCCTCTGAGACCTTCAATTGCATTTGCATCATGAAATTAATTTGGACAATGAAATTGATAAGGACTCTGTTACTGCACTAAATGAAGACTAGGAGTACTTCAGGGTCATTCTCCGTTAGGTTTATCACTAATTTTGATGGGTACTCTCATACTCAGTGCAGTAGATTTTGCCATTGTACAGATTCCAAGCCCCTTGAGTTGCTCAAGCAAAACATTTAGAATGATGTCTCCATTCTTTTTCCAACTTGCATTCCTCTTTATTGTGCATTTAACCTTGTTTTTCCATCAATGAAATTTGAAATTAGATCAATCGGTGAGAAATTTGACAGCTGATGTACCCTGAATTCTAGGGACTTGTCAAACGTGAAACGAGATTCACATCAAAATGTCCAGCTAACGAGATAATTGCGAAGATTGAAGAAACTGCTATGCCATTAGGTTTTGACGTGAAGAAGAATAACTTCAAGGTATAAGATGACCTCTCTCTCTCTCTCTCTCTCACAAACAACCCCCCCCCCCCCCCCCTTCTCGTTGTTTTTCTCTTTCTCTCTTATCACCCCCACTTTATGAGCATTTAGCTGGAGTCATCTTTATTTAGCACAGCAATGACCCGTATCAGTTTTCTGTTAACATAATTCCTGCATTGACCATGTTTTTGATGTTCATAGTCCTCTTCTCTACATTATCAGCTGAAGGAAAATATTGAAGAACCATGTAGAATATGAAGGACCCTAAGGCTGCATTTGGTCGACTGGATAAAAGCCAGGATAGATATGTTTATCCTATCCGTGTTTTGTGTCCAGATAGGATAAGGTCGGATATAGACCGGATAAAAATCCGAGGGGGGATAGATCGGATAGGATTTCTAATGCCTATTTTCCAAACCTACGCTCCACTCCGTCATCTTCATCCCCACACCTTGTGCGTTTCACCAAAAAATTTCTGGCTTTTTTCCTTGCGGACCGTGAATAGCAAAAAAAAAAAAATTAGCTATGACTTTAAACGTAGTCCACCAAACGCAGCCTAAAGGCTTAACCTATGCTCGGTTTCTGTGGATGAAGCGCTGGACGGAAAGGTCATTTAGCTGTTGCAACAGAGGTAAGCTATTGTTTCTTTTATTCGGTGTAATGGTGCTCGCAAACAATTCTATTCTAAAGTAAAATACTTATTCATAACAAGTGATAGTTAAGCTCTTCTTTTCAGATTTTTGAGGTGGCCCCTTCACTATACATGGTTGAACTGCGGAAGTCTGGTGGAGATACACTGGAGTTTCACAAGGTATAAATTTCAATCTGAACGTTGATCTTTAGGTTAATACATTATTTGAACTCTTTAATCCGTATGCTCTCTATTGATTATTGTGCAAATTACTCTTTCAAATGGACGTGGCATTTCTTACACGGATTCATTTTGAAGACAAGCCTTAATTAATTTTCTAACTCGCGATTTTTTCTTTTTCCCGTCCTTTAGTTTCTTTTTTTTTTTTTTTTTGATTGAGTCTCTTGACAAACTTCATTTATGCAGTGTGGTCCTTCAACACACACCAATGGCACTAAGTTGGTCTAGCACATTATTATGACATCTTTGTACACAGATAACTTAAATGGAAAATCACAAAATCCATCCTCAACTGTGCTCCCTAGATGAAATACTCTCCTCATATTTTCAGACCACCCACACATTGTATCTCCCCCAACTGAAAATACTCCAATGCAAAAGGTGAGGATGGTAATTGTAGGTTTCGAAATATGAGAAGGGTATTTGGTATGAGGAGTATAGTTGAGGAAGATATTTGTAATTCTCAATAGCTTGAAAGAGAAAAGGGAGAGATACATTTCCCGAACAAGTTCCTGGAATGCAGAGTTTTGTTTGTATCATTGTCATGTTTTATTTGATTGATTTATAAAAAATCGATTTTTGCACTTTTCTGTCAATTTAATTCGGGCCCAACCTTATGCACCACGAACCCATTTTCTGCAGTTTTACAAGAACCTTTCAACTGGGCTGAAGGATATTGTCTGGAAAACAGATGAAGCAATCCAGGAAGAAACTCTCAGTGGTAAGAATGCTGCAGACGTTGGATATAAAATTCTTTCCCGTATTTGGTTACATGATGTTGGATCTTAATTTGCCATAAGCAGATGGACGGTTTCAGCACTTTGTTTCTGTCACATAATCATCCTCTAGTTGCATCTTAGACAAGGTTGCAAATCGCGACATTGTGCGATCATTTGGGTAGCCTTTTATTCATGCTTTCCTACTAGATAAATTAAGTTGAACGCGAATCAAATGTTTATGTTCATAACACCATTCGCGCACACATGGACTCACTTTAATTATTCACAAATTATTCACGCACCAAATGTGAGTGGATTTTTGGTAATTGTTTGAACTGCGACATCATTAAACCCCGCTCTTCGGCCGATTGGAGACACTTTTTGATTAGTTATTGTTGAAGGCGTGTGACGAATTGACTCCTCTTTCGTATGGTTTGTCCATTACAGGTATCGTGGATGCTAGATCTTGATGGCTGTTTACCTCACATACTTGAAATGTCAGCGGACGAACGAATTGTCTTACATTTTGTTCTTTATTTCTCTATACTGGATTGAAAACTCGGTAAATATCATAGATCGGACTATTCTTGCTTTTTCATGTGGAATTCTGTGAATCATAGTAATATTGGATTTGAAACTTTCTCTCTTTACTTGCATGCCGTGCATTCCGCCGTTGAGTCGGGCTGTTATTTCATTGAGCAATTCGTTAGTTACTTGGTTGTTTAGATAGTGGCCTTTTGGTTCACCTTCAGGCTTTGTTGTTTCCTTCCTGAAATGAATAAAAGATGGGTATGTACTTTATGTATTCTTTAGCTTGTGTTTTCAACCCGAAATTAAAAAAGAAACCGAGTGAAATTGAAAAAAAAAAGGCAACTCATCCGTTGTTAGACGACGAGGGACCAGCGAGCCCTCGATGTTGCGAGGTGAGGCCCCAAAAGCCCTCGCCGTCGGCGGGGGGCCGGCATGACCTATCTCTCTCTCTCTTAGGATGCGTTTTTAGTGTACAAGGAATCAAATCGAAAGTTCGTTAACTCGTTTGCATGAGGCGCTGAAGATCTCATTGATCATGCGTGAAATGCAGAGTATTCGAAAAAGAGAAAGAAACCGTTGTGTAGGGTGCCGAAAAACAACCATTTCGTTCCTATTTCCACTTTGTGCTAAGTCTTGCGTTGTGTACGAAATGTGAGTCTTAAAATTTTTAATTTGATTCAATCAAGTTGTTAACCTTCATCAAAAAATGGTATTAAGTCTAAAAACTATTATTTTTTTCGGTCGTGTAAATGATTGTCAAAAAGACTTGATCGTACTTTATGTGAAAGGCCTAGGACTTAATTAAATCGACCGAAATGTTTCAAACTTTGTTGCATTCCGCATGTAAGTTTTAAGACTTTTGGTGCAATGTTTTCATTACAAATTACACAAAAATCGGGAATATTGTCAAAAATGTCTTAAACTTGTTACACTTTTGCCAATTCAATTATAAACCTTTCAAATTTACCAATTGAGTTCTAAACATTTTCATGTTTTGCCAATTGAATCAATCCGGGCAATTTTAGCTAGAAATTGCTTACGTAGATACCGGTCATCCTACGTGACACTGCAGTGCTGATGTGGACAATTTTTTAAATAACATTTTAACATTTTTTCGAATTGGTTTTATCTTTTCTTTTATCTTTTTTTTTCTTTTTCTTATTCTTCTTCCAAGCCCGGTGAGGATCGCGACCCTCTCCTGTGACTGGCGATGAGTCGCCCGGCGACCCTCACCAGACTTGATAGAAAAAAAAAAAGGAAAAGAAAGAAAGAAGATTATAAAATTATAAAAAAAAAATTGTTTACGTTAGCACCAAACTTGTATTATTGTGACAAATTTACTCTCTATTAGTTTTCATTAAATTTTACCGTCAAGTTGTTGAGTAAAATTATATGTGGCAGTTGCCGGGTGTACCAACTTAGGGTTTTACCCTCCGTTGTCACAGGTATACCAGTTTGTGATTTTTCATGGTATTAATCCAATTTAACGGAAACTAATGGAGGGTAAATTTGTCAAAAAATATACCAATTTTGGATTTTTAGCTGTAAAAAAATTAGTATGTGGTATGTTTGTCATAGTTGTATCAATTTGGAGTTTTTTGTGGTCAAAAAATTAATTTGGGATAAATTTGTCACGAATGTACCAGTTTAGGGTTTTTCGTGATATTAACCCTTTTGATTATTACATTCGATAAAAGTGGAACAAAATCGAGGAGGAAAAAAGAGAAACAAAACCATCTAGAAAATAATAAGGCTAACAATAGTCCTACCAAAAAAGCTTAAGATGCTAGAATAGAGAGCCATCAATGTATATCAAGCGCATTTTAGCTAACAATATGCTTGATATACATTGTTGACTCATCACCCTAACAACTCGAGCTACTAGGTCGAGTATCTAATCGGCTTATAAAGATGTTTAAATGGGATTTTCCGAGCGATGTGGGACAAGATTAACAATTACCGTCGTAACGGCGTCGCTCTTGTTTTCATTCCTAATCTTATTTCCCCCTCATTTATGGAGCCAACGGTTAAAGATCTAGGCAGAATCAATCCCAATTGAGAAATTCATGACACATTAGAAAAATTTTACCATGAGAAAATTGTCTTTCTGTTAGACTTTATATAGAAGTTAGACTTTGCATATGAGCTGAAAAGAAAAGAAAAGAAAAGAAAAGCCAACACCATACACTATCAATTTCTGAAATGCTGTCTGAATAATGTGCACATTACATAAGCCAAAGCGGAAACTCACATCATATACGCAAATCAACAGTCAGTTTTCATCTCCTTTTCTTGCTATTGACAAAACAGAAGGCAGATTGGAACATGTCAAGATGCACCAAGCACAAACTGAGAAACTATAGTACAAAAATTTTCCGAGCGATATTCAGGTGTGATTCGAGCGCACGGTGAAATACCGTATAGGAATACCCATGGCGATCGTTCGAACTCGATCTCTTAGCCGAATTTTTGAGATCCGTCGCTCTCCGAGCAACGAAGAAGGTTCGGGTCTCGCCCATCTTTGCACTTAGCTAAAGAGGGCATTCTGAGAGATGAACACACCCCAAGCTTCCTGAAAGTCATAGCAGCAATCGCTGAGCGTCACTTACCGACGCCGACATCGAACACGCTCGTGGTTAAGTCGAGAAGAACAGATTTTTCATTTTACCTGGAGGATCGAGAAGGCCTTCTGGGCGATGTACTTTTGCCGATCCGTCGCCCCTTTCTGCTGGAGCTTGTCAGGGTGGAGACACAGCCTCGCTCTCTGGTAAGCCTTCTTCACTTGAGAGCTCTCCATGAGACTCATCAAGGGCACCGAGCTCCAACTGCTGTTCGGCCAGAGGATCTGAAACCGGCCACGCCCCCGCGAGCCTCGATGTGAGCAAATACTAAATGCTCAAAAAAACTGCGAGATGGGTTCGGGGAAAGAAAGAGAGAGAGCTAAGTACCTGATGTAGTGTCGAGAGGAGTAGCCGGATGTTTGTTTCTTTGCCGACCGACCATGCCCGTAAGTTTTGATCCAACAGCTCCATTTCCTTCTACACAACACGAGCCGTCAGCACCTATCATCTATCAAACTGCGAGCAAAGCTCGAAGTTCACCTTTACTCGTACAAAAGCTAGTGACAAGGTCATCGAAAGACATTTTGCCAGGGATTCTCAGATCCATCGAATTCAGAGCAAGTGTTTTCGGTCGATACTCTTCCTCAGGCCAAAGGACTGATGGTCGCGCAGAACACAGTCGATTTCTTTCGAACGCATTGTATGCCATCTCATTAATTTGAAGTTTCTTGTACAGTATAGTTTAAATGCAATGGACATAGATAAGGAATAGCTTACGTCTTTGTCTGATCGCGTGCCGCCGTCTTCTCCCGTCTGCTCATCTTGTTCTTCCTGACAAATACAGAAACGCGAGGCCTCATAAGAATTCGGACCGACGCAATTTACTCGTAGCCGATCTCATTTCCTATTTCTAATCATGTTGGGAAAACAATGTCACTTAGATAAGTGCATATCTGCTGCATCAGTACTGATTGATTTGCTTAAAATTGTTTACCTCTGAACATTGCATCTTGCTATGTCTGCTTGTGTCAAGAAATTCACAAGCTTTTGACATCTCTTCAGAATGCCAGACAATAAAGAGATCGATCGTCAGCCTCGCATCGCTGAAATAATTAGCCAAATTGGCCCGAGTGCTGCTCGAGCTAATATTAGTAACCGTACCTTCGGTTTCGGGAGAGTCCTGCTTCCCGAGCTCCGTCTCGCTCCATCCGTCTTTCCCGTCGCCCGGCGCTTGAAACTTCTCCTTGGCCCACGCAATCGCCTCGTCGATCCCCAATGCATCGCCGGAGCCATCTCGGCGATTCGAAGTACCGATCTCAATGACAAAAGAACCCGATATCTCATCTTCCTCATGGTCCTCTATCTCTCGTTCCCGGACCACGTGAACCCGATCTCGGATGCTGAGGTTGTTGCCCTCAGGATCTTGACAGAGCGAAGAGATCACGGATGACGGGGAGTTGATCTCCATGTCATCGTCCTCGACCGATATCTTCATTCGCCGGCGCGAGCTCGGTTCTTCGGTAACGGATTCCGGCGACGGAACGGGCCGCGCAAAGCCATTGTACGAGCTTCTCGAGTTCGATTTGTGTTCTTGTTCGGTAAGTCGCTCATCAGGCCATGAAGGCGGGCTGTAGGTAAATGCTGGAATTCCATGCTTCTTTAGATCATTGCCGGGAGCAGTTGCGATTGAATTCCATCGGCACGGCACGTTGATCGGCCTGTCAATATCGATCAACACGAAATTTTGATATAACTTTCGCCTACGTTGCATTTCTTGATGATTACTATTCCTGTTCAATCTGATCTCAACTTAGAACAACTTTAACATATAAACGATTTGATTTGTAATCTAAACTCACTTCAATTGAAAAACCAGAAAAACGGAGATCTCTCTTTAGTCGCAGCTGTTTCACCTGGAAACAGAACCAGTAAAAGTGCAGTATCTACCTGAGCTTCGAAGCGAAAGATGACAGTCCGACGTCGTCCCTGATCACTGGCCGGAGAGGGCTCAGCTCCTCCGAGCTCAGCGCCGACGACGAATTCGACTTCGACTTCGACCCCGACATCACCTTCGACCCCGGCCTCGACCGCTCCCTCGACCTCCGGTCCCTATCCGACCCGAACACATCCCCGTAGAACACCTCCGCCGCCGCCGCCGCCTGGATCCTGAACGCCGGCAGGCTCCGGCCGGACTTCTTCGCCGGGGAGGCGAACTCCGGCGGCCGGAACACCTCGTCGTAGAAGCTGGAGACGGGATCGGCGGGCGCGAAGTCGCCGGAGAACTTGCGGAGGAGGACGGTGCGCGGCGGGCCGCCGAAGACGTCGGAGAAGTCGTCGGGGTTGAGGGTCTCGGGGGGCGGCGCCCTCCCCGTGAGGTCCGGCGGCGGGGGAGCCCTGGCGGTGGGCCGCGGCGGAGAACGGACGTGCATTCCCATGCGCATCCGCCAAGACTCGTCCATATCTGCTTACCAACAAGAGAGAGGGAGGAGCAAAGTGAGGCTTCGTATAGATATTGAGTGGGAGCAAAAGGCACTTTTTTTTGCATGTACAAAAGAACTTTGTCCAACTTTTGAGACCAAAAAAGAATAAAGGAGAAAAGTATTGGGCATGTTTTATGAACTTTATTATATGAAATTGGGATTTTACCATTTTATTTGTTGGCTAATAATCATCACATAAAAATTTAGTGATATGAGCAACAAAAAAAATGAAATGGATGGTATGAATGTATTGTTGTTCTTATAATGATATTTGTGAAATTTGATTTGACCATTTGAAAAAATAAATTTTTTTTGATCTTGTTTGCTTGATAAGTTGGCTATTGAGGTCCTTTGATTGAGGGGGTTTGAGTGGAGCTCCATTCATGTGCTTGATGTACTTTTAGTGCTTTATTTTCTTCTTTCTATTTTGTTAGCAAAAGGCAAACTTATCCTCTAGGAAGAAGCTGTATTTTTTTTTTAACCTATAAATTAATTTTAAAGTTGCATTTTTTTCTCGAAAAATGAATGATTTAAAAATAAAAAAATGAAAATGAATGAACGAAAATATTTTTATTGTCCACGAAAATATTTAGACATTGTTGATAAGAAAATATTTTTCATTGACTAATTATCTTGAGCGATACTAGCCATCATCTCGGAGGAATATATTTTTGCAAATCATTCATTTTTTGAAAAAACAAATAAAGCCCAACAAAACAAAAACTTGGAATGATCATATGAATGTATTATTGGTCTTATAATGATATTTATGAAATTTGATTTATTAGCTGACCATTTGAAAAAATAAATTTTTTTGATATTGTTTGCTTGATAAGTCGGCTATTGATGTCCATTGATTGAGGGGTTTTGAGTGGGGCTCCATTCATGTGCTTGATGTACTTTTAATGCTTTATTTTCTTCTTTCTATTTTGTTAGCAAAAGGCAAACTTATCCTCTAGGAAGAAGCCGTATTTTTTTTTTAATCTATAAATTAATTTTAAGGTTAGGTTTGTTTCTCGAAAAATAAATAATTTAAAAATAAAAAAATACAAATGAATGAATGAAAATATTTTTATTATCCACAAAAATATTTAGACATAAATTATTATTGATAAGAAAATATTTTTCATTGACTAATTATCTCGACCGATACTAGCCATCATCTCTGAGGAATATGTTTTGCAAATCATTCATTTTTCGCGAAACAAATAAAGCCCAACGAAACAAAAACTTGGAACGTTAGAATATCAACCTTTCGGTCCTTCTCCTTTTATTGATAAAGGGTCGGGAAAGAGCGATCAGCACTTACGACCCTTTCAGACATCATCACAAAACCCCACATCCATTACAGGAAAATCCAGCTTGAGTCATAGTTATTCGCACCACTTGCGACTCGAACGCTCAAGAGTAGCAAGCCCGTCACCATCGCTCCACCGAAATGCTAGAAAAATAAAATAAAGTCTCTCCACACCAGATATGGAGCGAGCCGTTTTCAAAAGTCTTTTCGTCACATAAACGAAGCTCGTGATCTCGTAAAAGATGAGTGACTTTTTTTTTTGGCCGAATTTTCTATCCTCGTTCGGAATCATATTAATAAAATTTTTATCGCACTTTGACTGTGAAATGATGTGGGGAAATGAATGATGGGATGGGTATCGTGTGACGATATGATCATGACTGTTGGTACCACGCTTTGCTAACCTGGAAAGGTGTGTGATTCGTTGGATGGTGGGGGCCAAAGCCTCCCTCCTCGATGAAGTATGATGATCCTAACAACACATCACTAATAAGTCGGGACATTTTTTTATCTTTATTTTTATTTTTCCCCCTTTAATTATCTTGAACTTTAATTTATTCTGCATTTTTCTTGTGTTTTTTCTCCCTCCTTATATTTTATTATGCATTTAGGTGATATTGCCGAGACTAAGAACCACATTTTCATCTATCGACTTAGATTAGCCTATCTCGTGATCCGACCCAAGAAAGAGAATCGAATTTGAAATCTCATGCTTTTTGATGCGTATGGCTCGTCGGTCATCTCGACTGATCAATTCTTGAGTTCATTTTTTTTTTCGGATGTTTTTAGTACGGTCTTACTCCAATTCTCAATCGATGTGACCATGATTAGCTTATCTTGTACGTTACCCCTTTCGGCAAAGAAAAGACATTGAAAGGGGAAGAGCAACGGACCAAAAATTATATCAATGGCATCAAATCAAGAGGCATGTCTCTACATTTTGGGAGAAATTACAATGTAGTCACGCGCAAGCATCATCACGCTGTATATTTTCATTAAGGATCACTTGTGTCGCGTAAATTTTTGTCAATTACCATTTTTTGTATAATCTCATTTCTCCGGTTCTCATCTTACCCCTACAATGATAACGCCAGATAAATTAAGCAAAAATATATATGGATTTATCTAAAAAATAATTGCACCACTCTACACGAGTGTGTGAGAATTAGTTCATTTTAAATCGACGAACAAATGAGTAGGATTTTCTTCTATGTTTTTTTTTCACTAAAGTACCTTGGTTTGAACTTGAATCATTGAACTCCTTTCAACTTTGCACCGGAGAAAATAAACTAGTGAAAACCTAGTACAAATTTGAATTTCAATCATTCAATGTATTGACCTTTTATTTATTTATTTACTTTAGCAATTGAGGCACTCTGACTGAAATATGGCAGATTTTTCAACGAAATTTAAACGCGACAATTACGCGACAATCACCCAATTGTTCAAAAAATCGGTCATGTGTCCATCAAATCGGCAGGTTTCAATCAAAGTATATCAATTGCAAAAAAGAAAATGAAAATTTAGTGTCTTTGATGATTGAAATCAGGTCGGTGATGCGATTGCAAGTTCCACAACTTAGTGACCACAGGTGGACTTTACCCAATGTTTGTCATATTTGTCTTGTATGCTTATCTAACATATCTTTAACACTCACTATTAGATAGGGAAAAATAATGGTATTAGTCTTACTTTCATTTCAATCACTATCTTAGAACTGGCACATGTAACGCTTATCTATACATAACTTTTTTTTCTATAAAGACTAGCACATGAGAACATGTTTTGCCTATGAAAAAAATAGAATATTAGGCTCCGTTTGTTTCGCGAAAAATATGATATTTTTGAAAAATATTTTTTAAAAAAATAACAATATTTTCTAGTATTTGATAGAGACCTAAAAATGAATTGAAAAATATTTTCCATCATTTGGTCAGAAAAAATTTGACTTTTTCTAACATACATACACTATTTAGGGTCCACCGAATAAAGGATGAGACACTCATTTATAATGCCAAAAGTATCCCTACTTTTCTCATTATGGTGAAAGCGTGTTAGGAACAATATCGACACTTGTGAAAAGTGACACGAAAGTCGCCTATTGACTTAATAATATGGGTATAGATACTAAGATTAGTGACCATGGTGGACTTTACCCTATGTTTGTCATATTAGTCCTGTATGGTATTAGTCAGTTAATTTAGTCTAAGGTATCTTTTACATTCAATAATGAAGGGGAAAATACCGGTTCCCTTAATTCCATCAATTTCAAGTGGACAGAAATGCCACGTGACTCTTTATTTATTATATATTTTTCAAACATATATGTCACGCAGATTTTCCATCTACTAAAATCTAACGAAACTAATGAAAGGACCAAAGTGGATAAAAACGATAAACTTTACATATTTGAATGCACGGGATGAAACTTTTAGGACTTGGGTGTATTATCGTGACAAGTTTCCGGACTCCTGCTACAATTATTCTTAATATTTCATTATTATTACTATTATTATCTCAATTATTATTAGCACGAAAGAAATGGATTCCGCTGGTACAATCCAAGCTGGGAGATGGACAAAAAGTGGTAGAGGCAGGTGAGGGCAAGGATGACTGATACCTCACAAGGAGACAATGCATGCCACAGCTTGACCGTGCTGAGGTCCCTTTACTTTACACACCTCACTCCCTTCTGCTTTGCACAAACACAAAGAGAGATTTGTCCCCAATTAAGGATTTTGATTATTTCCTAATTAGGAGTTTAAGGATGTATTGTAATGCAAGAGGGATCATGCCAAGAAACGGGTCAATCCGGCTTTAAGACGACCAAATTCCTAGGAAAAGCTCGAAGCTTTTCGGTTCTTGTCGTGTGGTCCACAGCACAAGCGGAGGACAAGTATTGAACAGTGAATCTAGGTTTACAGCTTTACATGGTGGAGGAAGAGACATCATCATGGAGGAGATCATTATTGCATCAACTTGGGTCGTAAGTTAGCAATCGTGGCTGGTAACATCTATTTTGTGATAATCCCCCGGTTATATTATGATTATCTTTTGTGTAACTAATGAATTGTACATGCATAGATATATGCACGAGTGATTTGATTACAAAGGAATGGGATTAATTAGTTTATGTTCGTGTAATTGCCATTATTACAAATTATCATCTTTTGTGCTATGACCGTTGCTTGTGTCTAATTTTGTAAGAAGAAATTGTCGAATCGGTCCTGAATCTATTATGTAGATGTCAATTCGTTCTCGAACTTTCCGATTTTGCCAAGTTGGTCCTACACATTTACGCAAAATTCCAATGTAATCCTTCCAGCCAATTCTCATCTAAAATCGCTAATGTTAGAACAGCCGACGATGATTAGATTTCTACGTTAGCGGTTTCCAGAGAAGATTGGTCGGGAATGCTACATTCGAATCTCGCGCAAAGATGCAGGATCAATTTGGTAAAATTGAAAAAATAATGACTGAATTGGTATCCGTATAATAGGTTTAACACTAAATAAGTAATTTTGCTTATTTTGTGACATGTATACTTTACTTGTTCTTTTACGCATTTATTTAATTATATATATTTTGAGAGGGCGAGAGAGAGAGGGAGATTCTTTTGTTCAAGTTAGTGGTTGAGAATGTCTTTCAAGTACTCATGCAATGGAAGAGGACTTTTATGTCTTATTGTAAATGGAGTTGTGTATTTGGGATGCTAGCACCAAGAAAGATACATGCACT